ACATTAGGGTTCACTCTTGGTGTCATATACTCTATGGGTTTTAACAAAAGTATAATGACATGTATTCCCCACTGTGGTAGCAAACAAAATATGTTCACTGCCCTACACACCCTCTAGCACTGTTTTCAACCTTCTCACCAGCCCTGGATGTAGGCATTTCTGTCCCCCTTCCCAGAGGAAATCCCCAAGGTCCTGAGCGACCAGGGGACTTGCTCAAGCTCAGGTGGCTCCCAGGACAGGAGCCAGCTCCATGGAGGGAGGTGAGCACAGACTGAGCCTGGCTGCCTGGTGCAGCGCCTTCCTGGCCTGCGCGGACCAGGCAGCCTGGGCTGGCTGTGCGGTTCCTCAGGAACCACAAGGAAACACTGTGCTGTGGCCACTGCCCGCGAAGCTATTGGAGGTTGGCTTGCATCGAAGTAGCTGCTTTTACTCTCTATACGACAGTAAAAGTAATGAATGAGAGGGGATTTCCAAGATAAGAAAACTCAGATCTATCCCTGTTGTGTGTGTGTGTGTGTGTGTGTGTGTGTGTGTATGTGTGTGTGTGCGGGCTGTTCATACTCCCCTGTTCATCTGGAATTTCTGTTATTTCATCTGAAATAACTGTTATTTCCCCTCCACATAGTCCATCATATTTAGCTAACCCCAGCTTTCTTGGCAATTTCCAAAACTGCATGACAATGGAATGTGGCGTCCACACTGAGGAGGCAAATGGCACTTCCTGCCTGGGAGAGCCGTGTGGCCATGGGATTTTAATAACAATAAAATTTTTATTAACAATATTACAAGCCACCGGAACCCTTGCAAAACACAGAATTAGGAATTTGGTGTGTTTTCTCTTCCTGAAATTGGAGTATCTTATCTGCTGTACCCCATTGTCAGGACTGTAAACAAGCTAACTGAAATGGCTTCTGCGAAGGAAAGCTTAAAAAGGGAGGCTGGGACGAACTCTTCTGAGAACAATTTACATGTCAAGTCCAACATACCTGCTCGTGCATTTGGGCTCAGAAGATGTGACTGTGGCGCCCCAATGACTCCCCAGTTTTCCTAAAACAAGCAAACTGTCAGAAACGGACACCTCACCCGGCGTCTGAGCCATCCACCTAGAGCCTCCAAGCCCCACATTTTCTAAGGATTTAAGGTTCTTTTCAGGAATCAATTTAAAATAATTCATATTCCAACTGAAAGACAATTTAGGGCTTACACGGGGAGACGCTTCAACTTCCAGCGTTTTATTGCTGCTCTCAGGGTTTTTGAGATGACAGTTTTCCCTTCATAGAACAAGTTTAAAATTAGAAAAATCAAACACCCATTAGAGAAAGCAGGTTTCCCCTCCCATTAATTGATGGGGAGATGTAAACTCCTCGCACCCGGCACCGCCCGCCCGACCTAAGGAGGGCTGTGCTGCCTGGGGGAGCCGCCTGCTCCCCACGCACAGACATTAGGGGGCTGTGTGGCTCTCATCCCACGTTTATTTTTTTATTTTTAAGTGAGCAACCTTGAAAGTTGAACTCCCCGCCCTGTCTGGTTTCTCTGCTCTGCTGGACAGAGGCAGTGCAGCCGCCTGTTTAGCAATCAGAAAACTATTCTTACAGGGAATGGAGCCTGAGCATTAAACAGGGAGAAGAGCAGGGAGCAACGCCTCCTTCCAGAGGCTGGAAGCGGTCCAGGGGTAGGAAGGACGCTGTTCCGTGAGGATCTGCTGAAATACGACCCTCGGTTTTGACTTGCAGCCCTGCCATCCTAACAGAAGCCCCTCTAACGTCTGCTGTAGCTTTGGTTTGGGAACACGTCACATTCCTCATTAAAGCAATCACTGTTAAAACATAAAGCAACACAGGATTTATTTCTTCATTAAACTGATGATCCGTATATGAAGCCAATTAACATTATGAGGCTGGTGAACATCAAGTGTAAAGAGGTTAGAGGAAATTAAAAGCAGTCACCTTGGTCTTTAGATAAAGAAAGTACACTTTTAGGTTGTAAATCATCGGAATGTCCAAGCGGGACAGATCGGTGAATTTGGTTAATTGGAAAATGCATTTTATGGCACAGAATTAAGGAAAAATAACCTTTTTGTTACTAACGCTTTCCCCCCGGGGTGGGGGTGGGGGTGGGGGTGGGGAGGACGCTAGGGAATGTACATATTTAGTCTTCTTCTCCCTGGCCGGCTGTGCGAGGCAATCCGAGGGAAGAGGGGTTTCCCGCCATCAAAGTGTGCGGGAGCCTCTCCCTACCGACTCCGCTGGGCCGTTTCTTTATTCGCTATTTTGTAACGGGAACAGCCCGCCTCGCGGCTGGGGCGGAGGGGACGTCGGTTGAAGCGGGTTTTAACAAAAGTATAATGACATGTATCCACCAGGGGAGGTGGTGTCTTGGGGAGCCCGGCTGGTGGCCCGGCCAGGGAGGCGGCCAGGCCAGCCTGGGGGCCCCGGGGAGGGCCTGGAGCTGCGGGGCCGGAGCCGCGCGGGGGAAGCGGGATGGAGAGCCCGGTCCCTGATGGGAGCTCTCAGCGCGCGTCCGTCACTTTCTTGGGGTTTGGACTCGAGAGAATGCCAGCGGGTCCCAAACGCCCGAGATCAGCAGGCGGGACCCGCCGCCGGCAGCCCAGGCCCCAGCAGGACCTCAGACGCGCCCCGCTGGACAGGGTGTGGCCGGCTGGGAGGCGCAGAGAGTGCCGCCCGCAGCCCCAGGACAGCCTGTCCCGCCGGGGACGTGCCTGGACCTCGTTGCCCAGCAGATGTCGGGGACGGGCGCCGAGGCTGCAGCTGGGACCTCGATGGCGTCGGCGCCTGACGCCGAGTCCCCTCGCACAGACCTCAGTGCGCCCGGGGCTGAGCGCCCGGCGCGGCCTCGCCTCGCTGCCGGGCGCCTGCTCGGAGGCTCGGGGCGCGGGCGGGGAGCTGCGCCCGGGGCCGGGGCGGGAGCCGGGGCTCCTAGAAGGGGCTCCGAAGAGCAGGTCCTCGGAGAGGACGGCGGCCGCGAGCTGCGCCTCCTGCCCGGCTGGGACAGGTCCAGTCCCTCTGGGTGAAGTGGACCCGGCTCTCCCCCTGCCCCCCGGCCCTGCCGGCTCCGCATCCGCCCCGGCCTGCCGGCCCGCTGCCCGCGCTGGCGGAGCCGCGCCGCGGGCTGTCCTCTTGGTGCCGAGCCGAGTTCCAGCGGCTCCTCCGTGTGCCGGGCCCACTCCCGGCGCCGGCGGGCACTGCCCGGGAGGCCTCCGGGGCTCCGCGGGCCTCCGGGAGGGGTGCCCCGTCTTCCTGGACCAGGCGGCTTTCGGAGCGGTCCCGGCGGCCAGCGCCGGCCCGCCCTCCAGCGGGGCGCCCTCGCCCGGAGCGGGCGGCCGGACCTTTGTTCCAGCGCCGTGTCCTGTCGGTATCCGTGAGGTCCAGGCTGACCCGGGGCGGTGCGCGGACGCGACCCCCCGCCTGGCCGCGGCCCCAGCATTAGAATGTTTATAAAATATTCAATTTATGCAGTCTGTCCAAGAAGCCATCGGCCCGAAATAAAACCGGCAGTCTAGACGGAACACAGACACCAGAACTTATCAACAGTTGTCTGACTTGCGTCTTCTGATGCATCTTGAGTGGGTCATAATACCAACTTTATTTTCAGTGGTGCATAAATTAATTACACGCATTTAATAACCAAAATATCATTATATTCCCCCTTTAATATCATAAAGGCTTTCCGCCAGGGAAGCACTTAATAGTGCAGGGGGCCGTAACGGGCTATTATCCTGGTGTAATGCTATTACAGAACCAATTATGCGCCATTAGACTTGCTTTTTTTGCAGTTTATGTGATTTGATCCAATCCCGCGCCCCTGACTTGAAAATTCCAGCCCGGTGCTTTGGAGTTTAATTTTCGCCCGGGCAGAGGGAAGGGCGGTCCCTCTCCGCTGAGCCGCTGCCTCGGATGCGTTTTAAAAGTAATTGCGGAGGGTCCCACCGCAGATCATTTGCACGGAGAAGCAGCCATAAATCGAGGGACCCCTTGCTGAGAACAAAATCAAACTTTCCTTCTGTACGGCCGCTTGGAAAGGGAAGCCGTGTGCCAAGAGTCCCCCAAAAACCCATCGGGCGGCGAAAATTAGCGGCGCTTTGTCAACTGGAAGCCGGAGCCGCGAGCCGGGGACCGGGCGCGCCCGCGTCCAAACTCCGGGAGAAAGAAAGCAGGTTTGCGTCCGGGGACTTGGTGGGGGTGGGGCGGAGCGTTAAGAAAACATTGCCTTTTGGCGGGGGAGGCGGGAGTGATGGTTGTTACTATTATCCTCTTGGAAAAGAAGCGAGGGAAAAGATTCCCGGCGCTTGCTGAGATATGACGGATTTTTTTTTTTTACACCACGTGGGCCATTTGTAAGGCCCCATAGACCTATCCAAGTTACTCGCTGTAGACAGCGCTGGAAATAATCAGATTAAGGCCAATTATGCGTGAGATTATAAAGGCGAGCGCCGGGCCGCGGTGCGCGCTGTAGACAGACAGCGAGACATCTGGCCGCTTCCCCGGCCGCGCTTTGGGCCCGCGGCGCCGGCTGCGCCCCGCCCGCCTCCGCCCTCCGCCAGCCTGCGGCCCGGCGGCCCCGCTCCGGCCCCGCTCCCGCCGCCCGCCGCCCGCCGCCCGCCGCCCGCCGAGGTACGCGGCTCCCGGCCGGCTCTCCGCACCCCGCGCCCGGCCTGGGGTTCGGCTCTCCGGCGGGGCCGCTCGCGCAGAGGACCGGCCGCGGGGGCCGGGCACAGCACTGGCTCCGGGGACCCTGAGAGCCTGAGCGGGCTGAGTCCTGGGGCCCGGGGCGGGCACGGGGGTAGGGGGGGTGACCCGAATGGAGGGCTACCCCGCGGGGACCTGCTGGGAATGGCGCTGTCACCCTTTCCACGCCCCGGAGTGGCCGAGGGCGCGGGGAGAGCGCGGGGAGGGCGCCTCCGGGTGGAGCTCGGTGCGCTCCCGGTGGCCAGGCCCGGGCCTGGGAGGGAGACTGACTGTTCCGTTTGCTTTGCAGCGGCCGGAGCCGGGCGCCCAGAAGCCCCGCCGTCGGCGATGTTTTACTTCCACTGCCCGCCGCAGCTCGAGGGTGAGTGAGCGCGGCCGGGCGCGGAGAGCCTGCGGCCCGGGAGGGACCCGGCGCCGGTGGGGCTGGCGGGTGGCCGGGTCCCCGCCCCGCCCGGGGGCCGCCGCTGGACGGGGGTAGGAGCGCCCGTGGCTCCCTCCGGGTCCCGCTCCAACCTCCCGCCAGCCGCCACCTGCCTCCCACCTCTCCCCTCCGCCGGAGCCCGGCCTCGGGCTTTGCCGCAGGAGCCGGCAGGGTCCTCCCAGCACAGATGCCGGTGTCACGCCTCTAATCGCTCCCCTCCCACCCCCGCCCCCCGCCTAGGGGCCACATCAATCTTTCACGGTATTTTGCAAACATCCCGAAAAAACAAGGTGGACTGCGGAGTTGGTTCAAAATTGTCCTGGGTCAGACCAAGAGTCAGAACAACCCCTGCAGGCTACTCCTGCTGACACCGGCGCGGGCACCGGCAATATTGTGCGGGCTGCGGCCCGGGTTTGTTCCCAGCCACCTTGGCCTTCCCGGAGCCAGCCGGCCCTGGCCACCAGGGGCCCGAGGCCCTGCCTGGCTTCATCACTGTGACTCACTGGATTTCTGACCTTAAGCCACCACTGATACTCCGGGGCAGCCCCAGGCCAGGATTTGGGTCCTTGAGGGTCTCCAGGATTTAAAAGACATTCCCTTTAGGGTCCCTGTGGCGGGCTCTGTACTGAGTTGTTAGGTGGGGGTAGGTGAGAAGGGGACAGCGAGGCTTTCGGTGCCCCCAGGGGGGGAAGGGACATCTCCAGGAGTGGGCCCTCCCTCCACACAGCGGGGTAAGCATGGGCCAGGGCCTGGCAGAGCAGTGGTCCCAGCCGTGGGGCAGTTAGGACTTTCTAACTGTGGGAGTAATACCAGTCCTTGGCTTTGGCAACCTACTCCTTTGCTTTATTTGTGGAACGGAAGACTTTTGGAGACCCAGAAACGAGGTAGGCATGGGCATGACAGAGGGGTGAGGCACTGAGACATCAAAGGAGCTGGTCCACCTTGCCCTGGCCACCTCCGCAGTGGCTGAGCCTGGACTGGGACCCCACAAGGACTGCAGAAGTTCATGCTCCCAGGGAGGCTTGCACAGCTCAGTAGGGGTTTCTAGAGGCGGCTGATGGGGACCGGTGGTGGAGCCCTGCCGCTGGGTCAGCATTTCTAAGAAGGAAAGGCCAGACACTCACCTGCGTTTCACCTCCTTTTACCTCCGAGGACCTGGTGATCGGCTTTATGGAAAGGCTGGAGAGGTACCCCGCTTACATCAGGCCCTCTGAATGTGTGGTGGACACATTGCCCCTGCTTTTCTGAGCCTTGGGTTCAGTGATGGATGCCCAGTGGCCCACCTCTGGTCAGAGTGAGGAAGGCTGAGATTTGGGGTACTAAGCAGGCGGTGGGCTGTGTGGATGGCTTATGGGGAAAGCCCTGTCCGCAGGCGCAGGGCGGAAGCCACTCACGGAGTCCTCAACCAGCCGGTCATGAGGTCCTGCCTCCGCACACTGAGCTGCTTACTGCACCCGCTCCGCCCAGTGAGCTTCCCTCTCACACACACCCCGGCACAAGCTGTCTCTATGCTGGTTCTATTCAGAAGCAGAGGAGGTCCTTCAGAACCTTCGGTTTTATCTCCGCAGATGATTCTAAGCCAGTTCTGCAGACGTAGGACTAGCGTTGCTGGAGAAGATGATCTGCTGCCGAGGGGAAGGCTGAGAACAGAATTTGGAATATGACATCGCATTGTAGCCCGTCAGCTTTTCAATTTTATTTTTTTGTTAATCTGAAGAGGCATGAAGTAGAAAGCACAGCATGGTTCAGAATCGCACTTCTCAGGCCATTTTTTTGTGGTGTTAAATTAAAAAGTACTCCTTATAGCTGCTTAGGAAATTAAAATGGAACAGAAACCTTAAGTGAAAAGTGAAATCCTCTTTCACTTGTTTTCCTTTTTTTGAAAAGCAGTTCTTGTTGCTGGTTTCTTGTTATTCCTTCACAGGCTTTTACCATCATTTATTTTTCTCTCTGTGTTACTCATTGTTTGTACTGAAATCATACTACCAGTCATTCAGGACTTTGCTTTTTTCTTTGCAGAATAAATATTGGGAGGATTTTTCCATGTTGCTGCACCCCGGATCTCCTGACTTATTTTAAATAGCCGTGTAGTATTCCACCAGGTGCTGAGCAGAAGTGTCCTGGTGGGAATGCTGGTTGTTTCCAGGTTATTTTTATTACGGTGTTGCCAGGATCATTCTTCTGTCTCTATGTTGCCACCCTTTATAAAAATACCCATGGATTAAATGTCTGTATGTGCACTTACATTTTTGACAAAAATGGTCGTTACCCTCTAACAAGGCTACACCCATAGATGCTGCTACAAATAGGTGAATGGCAGCCACGTTTCAGTCCATTCCCATCATGAGACCCCTGATGTTTGTTTTCTTGCCAAAAAACACGGTGGAAATAATAATGAATGGTTCTGTTCTGTTTAATTGTCAGCAAGTTTAACGTTTGCATCCATTGTTGACCATTCTACTTATTTTTAACTAAAAGGCTCTTCCCATATTTTCCTCTTTTCTATTGGGTTGTAAATCTTTGTTCTTATTAATTTGACAAGGCGTCAGCCTTCTGTAAGGTTCAGTTGGATGCACAGTGTTTCATTAAGGTCCTGTGTGCGTCAGAGGTGAGCCACCGGGACCAGCGGGAGCAAACCAAGAGCCTGAGGCTGATGGAGACCCTCAGAGGCTGAGTCCCACCCTCACTTTGTTTCACAAGGAAGCAGAGACTGGGAGTTCGACTGCCACGAGTCTGCTCCTTTAAGCTCCTAGTGAACCGGAGAGAGATTTGTAACTAGGGTTTTGAAGAAGAGTGCAGCGTGGACAGGAGGAAGCAGAGAGAGGGTATCAGCACAGTGCGGTGTTATGGCAAACTGTGTGGCCCTGGAGAGTAGAATAACAAGCAGGAGGGGCTCCCGTTAGTAGATGGAGCTTTTTAAAGCCTAAAGGGTCTTGCTTCTTTGGGACTGAGGTCCTTCCGAGGGACGCTGTCCTGGCATTGCGGCTCGCCGGCTCCTAATGCCGAAGGCGGTGGTTCTGAGCCAGGGCCCATGGCAGGTACAGCATTCACTGGCTAATGGGAACTTGCTCATTTGTTTTCCTAAGGAGCCATTGTGGACTGTCAAGTAAATGGTGCACATTTGGAAAATGATCTGAATGCACATTTGGGGCCAAAGTCTGTTCCGGCTTTATAGGCGCTGTGGGGGCTGAGGGGAGGACAGTGGGAGGGTGCCCTTCTTTCCAGGGAAGCAGAAGCAGGGCCCTTTCTGAGCCGGGCCAGAGGGCCGGGTGCCCTCTGAGAGCGGCCCTGTGTAGGTCTGCGGGAATTCAGGACAGCCACTATTGGGGAGAGCTCTTGGCACTGACATCCATATAACGGACCCGCTACAGTGCTGATGAGCTGTGACCAACAATAATCAATACTTGTCTGTAACTTCTTGCCTCGTCGTGTTCTGAAGTTCTAGGAGGAAAGTGCTGTGAAAAGCTCTTGGTGTTTTCCTTCCTTTCCCACCCCCAGCATCTAGCCCTAGTTGTTTATAGAGATACAGGCAAGTACACTAACAGGTGACCAAAGGGAAGCAGCAGCTTCTATGCCAGGCTCTGAGGCGGGGAGTGAGGTGCATGTGACAGAGTGCAGCTGGGAGCTGGGACCTGGGACATGGGACCTGGGACCTGGGACCTGGGAGGTGGATGAAGGCTCCACCTCAAGACACTGGCCCTTGTTTGATACCTGAATTTCTCGAGAGGAGAACTTTGCTGTCTTGGGAAGTAAGGTCGCCTCCCTCCCTATGAAATAGGCATAGTTGGGCTAAAGTCATAAGTTATTGGGAGAGAAAGAGAGCACAAGGGAGTGGAAAAGAAGGGGGTTTATAAGAGGAGCAGAGAAAGACACTTTGGGGCAGCTAGAGCTCTGTCTGGAGGGGACGGGCTGATGCCCTGGATGAGCCTGTGCAGCCAGGGGAAGGTGTGAGGTCTGGGGGTCACCTGCTCAGGCTGACCCCGTTTGCTCCCAGCAGGCACTGCGCCCTTTGGCAACCACCCGCCCGGAGATTTTGACGATGGGTTCCTGCGGAGAAAACAGCGTCGGAACCGGACGACGTTCACGCTTCAGCAGGTAATGACGGTGTCTTCTGCAAGGTAGCTGCCTCCCGCCTCCAGGAAAATCAGAGTCTCAGCTGCTCTCCTCTGTATTTTAGAGTAAGGCCAACCGATCCTGCTAACTGGATCCTTCTGTTTTCTCAAACAATGTATGTGTCAAGGAACCTACTTCCAGGAGAGGGCAGAGGACGTTGACCTATGATCCCAGATAAAGTGAAGAGGCAATACTAATTGCAGCATTAGCCCGGGGCTGATAGTTTGGGGAGCATTTTAGCATCAGGAATGTCATTTGAACCTTGAGCAGGCAGGACCGTCTTGTCCTTGGGTCGGTAGATGAGAAGGCTGGAACCCAAGAAGTTGGCGGATCTGTAGGAGGTATTGTTGCCCTAAATGGAAGGGCTACAGTCACAACCCTGATATTGTGTTGCCCGGCCTAGCCGTGCTCTTAGACCTGTTCAACTTCTGGATCGAACTGGAGCCAGGAAGTACTCACCCCCTCGCAGTCTGTGGCACTGGCGGGGAGCAGCTGCAGGTGGTTCTGCCCCTACGCCCGCCCGTGGTGGAGGCTGTGCGGATGGCTCTCACTCACAAGGCCACCTCCCGTTTTGATTCTTCTGAATATATTGAAATGCAAACATATAAATATTTGCACTTCTCTTCTTACTTCTGCTTCTTGGGGCAGCATTGAGGTTGTTAGCAAGACTTAGCTCCCAAGTTATCAGTGGTTGAAATTTTAATTCTGTGGGATCTCTTCAAACAGCTCCTCCCCCTCTTCTGTCCCAATCTGATCTGTGAAACAGCTTCCTCACCACCTTTAGCGAATGTGAATTATGCCTCTGCTTGCTCTCATCCAGCCACAACCTCTCATCAGTAAATAGTTCTTCCTTTTACCAGCTGGAAGCTCTGGAGGCAGTTTTCGCCCAGACGCACTACCCCGATGTATTCACCAGAGAAGAGCTGGCCATGAAGATAAACCTCACGGAAGCCAGAGTGCAGGTGAGCCTTCTGCTCAATTATTTAACTCCCTGATATTGAAACTGGCAAACTTTTTTTTTTGACATCATGACTGCAGAGTGCACATTTGGCCAAAGAAAGCAAATGAAGACTATCTGTCATTTTCATGATGCACTTTAATAACATCAACATAATGTGGAATATTAGATTAGGTTGATTAATCGGTCATTCATAATTAACTAGTGATAATGTTCTACACTAATTTGTCCGCGTCTCTAAGGTACTAAATTACATCAATGCACATCCATTTCCTTGCTTTGGAAAAAAAAAGAAAAAAGAGCTGAGATGCTATTCTCAAAGCTGCTCTGACCACTCCGGGCGAAGGCCGGTCAATTGCAGAGAACCGTGTTTTCAGATGGGAGCGGGGTTAGGATCTGCTTTCCAGAAATTGCATTATGGCCAACTCACCGCCCCCCACTCCCCCCCCCTGCCCCGCACGCGGGCTCTTTTAGGGAAGTGAATCCGGAGAACGTGTGCCATTTAAAAATCTTTAGAGGGGGGCCGAGAAAGGGCTGCTGAGGGCTGAGCGTGGCCTGCAGCGACCGGCTCGAAGCAGGCGTTCTCTCAGAAGCCACACGGCGGTTTCGTTCAAGTGCACAGACCGCCCAGCCCAGCAGATGTGCCGCACTCCGGGGGGGCGCATGCACAGCGCCGCCTCTCCAGGCAGCTAGTCTTTGAGCACAATTATAGATTCATTTTATTTATGGGGGTTCCTCCGTGCTGTTTTTGTTCCTTTTTTTATGTAGGGGCTTGGGGTTAAGGCTATGCAAAGATCTAATTGTAGGAAATATAATAGTTTGTTCTCGGTTCCCCTGGGTCATGTTAGTATCTCTTAAAAACCAATGGCTGAAGAGAGATAATGGAATTCTGAGCAGTAAATTGGGGGTTGTAAACAAATTATTTCCCCTATAATCAGATTATGTGATCCTGATGATTAAATCTGAACATGAATCATTGGTCATATGTGGGCAAATTAAACTGATTATTATTTGGAAATGAAAATCTCCTTTGGCCAGGATGCCGTCTCTCCTTTCTCTAATGCCAGCTTGCCAATAGCTGCCTAAAGACTGCACTGCAAATTGAGATAAATGACACAATTATTGAGCATTCAGAAGTGGAAGATCATAACTTCTCCCTGAAAGGTGCAAGGGTGAGATAGGGGTGGTGACAATTAAGGCTGGGGATTGTTGTGGAGGCTGTTGTTGGCCATTATGCAAACAGACAATGGCTGCGAAGCATTGTTTCTGAGCCCCGTGCGGGAGCCGCTGCAGGCCCGGGCGCGGGAAGGGAGATGTGTTTACATTTACACTGCTTGCTCATTCAAATATGATTAATGTTCTATAAAGCAGGGCCTTAATCGAAGCTGATGTTGTCAAACAATAACTAAATAGGGAAATAAACGACTCCATCATGCTCTTTCCTCAGAAGCAGGCGAACTGTCAGTGCAAAGTCATTAAAATATGATAATGAAAAATAGCTCAATTAAATGTTGTCATAGCTGTGACCTTCATTCAATTAAGACGCAAGAAAGTGTCTGCATTTTGCTTTGCATTTAACTGCCCTAAATTTAGAATATAGATAAAATCATTATTCAACAGTTGCTGATATGTGCAATTAAAAGCCAACGAGATTTAAAAAGAGAGAAAGCAGGACCGAGAAAGGAGGCTGAAGTTCGGGGCGGGTGGGCTGGCAGGGCTCAGCCTCCGGACCAGGCCAGGCAGCCGCAGGAGGAGGGGACGCCCTGGGAACAGGAGGGAGTGTGATGGAGCCTTGTTCTTTAAGCCGGGAATTGTCTCCGGGAGAAGGGACCGGTTTTGCAGGAAGGAGTGAGAGCAGCGGGCCTCAGTGACCTCTGGAAACACCTGGCCAGGCCGCTCTCCTGAACATGCAGCCTCAGCTTCCAAGGCTTCAAGGGTCCCACACTCGCCTCTAAGGAGGCCCTTAGAGCAGGCGAATCCTTATTCCCTGCCTCCCAGCCTGAGGGTGGCAGAGATGATAACACCAGCTATCGTTGACCAATGATGGGTTGCTCTTTGCCAGGTACTGAGCCCAGTGTTTTGTGCATCTGTTGTCGCCTAATAACGCTGAGGTGGCCACTATTATTACCTGATCTGGGTCATGGCCCCTGGCCAAGCCACTGGGTTTCGAGTTGTGGATCTGCTGCTTACCCCCTGAACGACCTTGAGCAAGCTACCTGACCTCTGTGCTTAGTTTTCTCACCTGTGAAGTGGAGACGGTGGGCTGTCTCCTCATAGACTGCAGTGGACCCTGGACAAGATGCCGGGGTTCAGAGTTCTAAACCAGAAAGGACTCAAGAGTCAGCGTGTCCAGTGGGCCACTGCTCACACACTTGCCATCATGTGCAAGGGGCGATTTCAGGGATCATCGCATGTGTGAGGCGGACACTCAGGTGCTCAGGGCAACCAGCTGGAAGTGCCAATGGGTATAGTTGACAAGAAAATCCCAAGCAGTGCTTTATAAATGGCTTCAGGATAACCACCTCTCCAGGAAATAATTGTACTCACACATTGAGAATTCCCACAAAACACTTCCCCTTGGCTCTGGGCATGCATTTGGATGCTTTCTGTGACTTCCCATCCGGAAGCGATGCTCGTCAGTGTCCTCTGCACTGACCTGCCCGTGGTCGGTCTGCGGCTGCAGCTCAGGGCGCTGCTTTGGCCGATGACCTTGAGGCCAGGGGAGTGGACCAGGAGGGCTGGGCACGGCCGCCAGGCGTGGTGCTGTGTCTGACCTTCTGCCTCTGCTGGGTGTGCTTTCCGATCGGGGATGTAGGTTTGGTTCCAGAATCGAAGGGCCAAGTGGAGGAAAACAGAGAGAGGGTCCTCTGACCAGGAGCCGGGAGCCAAGGAGTCCATGGCAGAGGTGTCGTCACCCCCCGTGAGAAATGTCAATTCCCCACCCCCTGGGGACCAGGCCCGGAGCAAGAAGGAGGCCCTGGAGGCCCAGCAGAGGTGAGGCTGGCGGGACCTCGGGGCCTGCGGGCTGCCCGGTGGACGCTCAGGGTCGGTTGGGAGCTCATTGCTTTTCCTTCTCTGCCAGCCTGGGGCGAACTGTGGCTCCCACAGGACCCTTCTTCCCCTCCTGCCTGCCGGGGACCCTGTTGAACACGGCCACGTATGCCCAGGCCCTGTCCCACGTCGCGTCCCTGAAAGGTGAGTGGCTCTGCGGGCTGGGAGCCTGGTGACAGTCTACCCACCTGCTTTCTCCACGAGCTCATGCTTGCGCCTGGGCTGGTACAGCGCCCGCCTCCCACCCGTCATGCAGGGTCTGTTCCCACACGCCATCTCGGCTGTGTTCCCTGTGGCCCGAGGACTAGGTGGCTGTCTCAGGATCACTGCGTCTGACGGGGCTCGTCCGAGGGGCGCTCTGTGCTCATAGGTTCTCCTGGGCACATCCTAGGCGAGGCTTACAGGCCCCTCTGCGTCCTTCTGTCCGTCTGTCCATCCGTGGAGCCTGCACCTCTGCCCCAAGAGCTCCTGTTGGCTGAGGCTCTCCCTGTCAGATTTGCTGTCTTATCAGTGGCTGCTGTTGTCTGAGGGTGGAAGCCACTCGGGTGATCTGTCAGGTCCGGAGAGAGGAACCCTGTGGGCTGTCCCTCGGAATTTCTGGGCACCCCCGTGGATGAGGGGGCCCCAAACCTCCTCCTCCTGTAACGGGTCAGGCTTCTGTGCGCCAGGAGCAGGGCTGGGCCCAGAGAGGGTGGGGGGGTCCGTGTTAGTGTTCCCCTGGGCCTTGCCTGTCACAGGGTCCGGAAGGTGGGGGTGCTGGGGCAACTCTAGGCTTCTTCCTGATAATAGGGTGGGGCAGCTCTTCCCCCACCCCCTTGAGGTGTCCCCAGCTGGCTCTTGGTTAGACTCTGGGGGATGAAGGAGGGCGTGATGGAGCCTCCACGGAGTGTCCTGAAGGAAGGGAAAGGCATTCTGGGATAGAGAACAGCAGCACGTGCAGAGATGCTGGGCGGGAGGGAGGTGTGTTGGGGGTGGAAAACCAGGCTTTTCTGGAGAATGGCTGGTATGTTGGGTGCCCATGGGAGGTGCCTGGTGGGGCCTGAGCTTGAAGACCCAATGCCATGCTCCTGGGTTTGGACTTTCCACTGTGGGAGGTGGAGCCTCGAAGCCCGGAGCCACCTCTGGGCAGTCAGGGAGCTGGCATGAGGGGATGAGGCTCAGCGCCATCCAACTCCCTAGCGCTTCCTGCAGCTACTGTGACTGGTTCTTGGTGGCCACATGGAGCCCCCAAGAGGGACTTGGGGATCAGCTGGGAATAAATCTGGAGTTTTATTTGAATCTTTCCATCTTTCACATGTTGCCTCCAAGTCTTTGGGGCCAAACTGGCAAACCCTGGGTAGGACCAGCCTGAGGCTGCTGCTCATTTGTGAGGGGTTTTCTCCCTCCCGCCCCCTCTCTGCTTTCTGTTTCCTTCTCCCAAGTGTCCTCTTGGATATGTAGTTCCTCTGGGCCTGCCCTCCCCACCAGCCCCCAGCAGCGTCCCTGCCCGGCTGCCCCGACCCGCTCAGCATTGGCCACTCCCAGCTGGCCCCTCTTAGCAGCCGGCCTGGCCTCTGGTTGGCGAAGCCCTGTTGGGAGGGAGGAAAGCCAGCTTCTGTGCTCCGCCGGCCGGCCCGGTGATTTTGAGTTCAGTTTGCCTTCATAGAAAGGACCCCTAGCGAGGGCCTGGGGCTGCAGGTGGCTCTGGGAGCATGGCTGCCACTGGTGGCTGCTGCATTCTGCAAGGCCGACCCCAGGGGGCCTCCGGAAGGGCTGCTCTGAGCTGGGAGTCCCAGTGCCTCTGGGGCTGCCCTCAGTATAGCCCGCGTCAGGACCACCCTCCGCCTCGGCCCTGGGGAGAAGTGTGTGCCTACTGGTCAGGTTCAAAGCACCCCTGCGGTTAACGCTCAGTGGTTTTGGGGAGCATGGGTAAGAGGGGCTGGGCCCATGATGGCTTTCTGACCTTGCAGCCACATCTTCTCACTCCCCCAAGCTACAGAAACCAAGTTCATAGCTGAAATGCGGCCCAAGAGACCACTAGCCCCGAGTTCCTAGGGCCTGGCTCAGTGCCAGGGTCTCTGGGCTGTAAGCAGCCTCCCTCACCTCAACTGGCCCCTCAGGTGGCTGACCCAAACTCTCCTCTGGCCTGAGCATCCCAGGGGCTGCTGGGCACCGAGGGGCGGCCCTAGCAGCTGGAGGACTCCCTGCAGAGGGTACGAGAGGCCCCCTCTGGGCTCCCAAGCCCATTGTTCCTTTCCAAAGAGAAGCTGAGGCTCAGAGAGGCGAAGGTACTTGCTCACAAGCCTCTAATTCAGCCAGTCTCCCTCTGTAGTCTGGCTTCTCTACGTTCCCCCACGCCAGTCATTCATTCCCTCCCCTGCCGCACTGCTGGTAGGGCCAGTGAGGAAGCTCTGAGGCTCCCGGGACTGCCCGGGGCCGGGCCAGTGTGAGCTGAGCACCACAGCCCTCCCAGCCCGAGCAGCTTGCAAATGACAGAAGAAAGACGTCAAAGTGATTTTCAGCTTCTAGAACCAAACCAGTGCCGTCTCCTTCCTCGGGCTGAGGGGTCCCAGTGGGCCACCTAGTCCTGCACTGAAGTCAGCAAGTGTCCCGGGAAGGCCTCAGGCGCACCTGGCCTCGCTGCAGTGCTGCTCCCTGAGGCGCAGGCCTGTCCTCGGCTCGAGGACCCAGCCTGGGGAGCGTTCTGTGTAGTTACATGCTAAAGGCCTCTGCGCTGGGGTTCTGGCTTTCAGGCTCTGGGCACTGAGTGGCAGGTGTGCGGTCCCTGCCCGGGACATGCTGAGACCCTCCGGGAGTGTCTGCACGTGGCTGGGTGTCCCCAGTGCGGTGCTCAGAGGTGCTGCTGGCAGTGACCCGGAGGCCGCTGGGTCCTTTAGCAATTTATGGGAACTCAAACTCACTTGCCTAGAATGGGCTCCGGAAAGAGGGGTGCCTTTGGAATACGGGCAGACAGGGCAGCTCGGTGCTGATGTTGCACAGGTTCCTGGCCTCTGAGCGCATAGCTGCTGCATGGTGATGCAAGCCCCGCCTCCCCAGCGAGTGGGTGGGCAGGCTGGGCCCCTGAGCTCAGCTCCTGACCTCAGCCCCACCCGGAACATGCAGGGATCTGGCTCTGCCTTTCAGTGTTTAGGTCTCGGGGGAAAGTGCCCAGAAAAGGTGAAGGCAGCAGCCACTTTGCTGGGAATCGCAAACACTGAGCGAGTGGCGAGGAACTGAACCATGGTTTCTTACAAACTCGCGACTGGTTTTGATTCCTTGGAGATACCTGTTTCGAGTAGAGGCCTGAGGTTTGGCGGCATTCGGAGAGCTGGGGAACCGAGATCGGCCTGGGAATTGCCCTGTGCTTGGACAATCCGCCCAGCTTAGCAAGGCCCAGCACATGCCACAGCTCCACTCGGTGCTTACAGATGTGGCCTGGCACTGTGACTGCGTGTGGGGCTGTGCTCTGCCTGAGAAGTCCATGCCAGTGTGGTTGTCTGTGTGCTGACGGAGGTGTCTGCATAGGTCAGACACTCCCAGAGGCTCTCTGTGGGGCCACAGAGAAGGGCAGGGGGTGGGGTTGGCACTCTTGATGAACAGGAGGGCATGGCCTGGTGGCTGGTCAAGCAGAGGGTGCCCACATGGGGGAGGGTGGCAGACTAGCCTCCATGCTTTGCTGCACAGGCTCCCAGATGGGCATCAGGCTGCCCATCAGGAAGTGGGCAGCTACTTTGTCAGGCCAGGAACCAGCCTGTTGGGGCTAGAGCAGGGCAACAGAAAGCCAGGCATTTGTGGGGCTTCCTCCTTCAGTTACCCTTTCCTCACCCAGCGGCCACTATCAGTGTCAGGCAAGGACTCGGTGGCTGCCTGTGTGAATCCTCCTTCATCCTCTAGCCTCGTGTGCCTGAGTAAGGCACAGGCTCTCTACCTCTGCTTCCTCGTCTGATGTCATGGGTCTGCGCTCGGAGGGCTGAGTGAGCAGCAGGAGTTAGAACAGCTTAGGGCAGGTGTGCACATGCGCACCCAGCCAGGTTCCTCCGCTCTCGCTGCTGAGTTACTGGGTCCCCTCACCTTCAAAGGACCCGATGAACTGTCTGCCCCTCCAAACGTCTCCCATTTCTCTGAACTTCATTGCTGCTGACATCACCCTTTTCTTACAGCCCATTGCTCCAACGTTTTCTTCCCGGCTCTAGCGGGACTCTCAGCCAGGCACCCATCTCTTCCTGGCTCTCCAGGCTGCAGGGGGCTGTGCACTCTGGGCTGGATGGGAAGACTTGCCAGGTCAGGGTGCAGCTAGTGTGCTCCCTGAGTGAGGGGTGTGCCAGGGAGACTGAATAAAAGGCAGCAGGACCGGCCCCCTGCCGGGAGGTTTGCATGACAATAATGGGGTCCAGACAAAAAGCCTCAGCCGCGCAGACTTTTCCTGGCTGACTTCATGGCCAGCCTGTGCTCACAATTCATTAAGGCAGAGCAGGCTGTTAATGGCCGAGGGAGGTGCTGGGGTTTGCTCAGGGGAAGTGCTGACCGCAGGATGGCGGTGTGTGGGGGCGGGAGCGGAGCCTGCTCTCCATACATTCAGCGCCTGGAACCTGGGAGTCGGAGAGCTGGGTGTGAGATGGACACTGATTGCAAGCCAGGGGAGAGCTCTCAGAGCTCACTCAGCCTGCGCTCAAATGCAGGGTCACAGCCCTGCTCTGGAGCTGGGCGGAGGCCTTGCCACTGCAGACTTTCCCGAAGCAGAGCAGGCAGGAGGGGTGGGCAGGCTGCTGGGTCAGTTGGACATGTGGGGGCGCCCCGTCCCTGGTGTGGCTCCCTGGAGTTAGGCCAGAATAACAGCAGCAGCAGAGCAAGAGACTAAGGCCTGACCCCCCTTTTATCCCCCCCTTCCCTTCTGGATGGGGGAGGCAGCTCCAGCTGTCCCTAATGAGGGCTGGGCTGGGAGGAGCTGGAGGCACTTGGCATTCTGGCCATACCTGCCCTGCATGGCTGAACTCGGCCAGTCCAGGCCTTGGTGTCTGAGGGACTGAGGGATGTGTATGGACAAGGGTCTGGCCATGGCCTTCCTGAGAGCAAGGTCCCTTCATTAGCCCAGAACACGCCCTCCCTTTGTGAGATTGGCCTCGGCCTCCTGGCCTGGGTAAGGGGTCTGGGTTCTGAGACTGCCA